AGAGTGGCTGATCAGACCATGTGTATGCCTGTGTTTTTCCAGCAGTGAAGGTGCAAGTGAGAGTCAATGCTAGAGACTGCATTTTCTACCTTTTGTTCATTTGTGTGTGGTTTTGTCTTCTAGGAAACAGCAACAGCCCCAGCTCCAGCCATCCGCTTGTGGGAAGTTAATACTGTACTATCTTAAAGACTGTCAGACATGGGGGAGGGTTCTTTCTAAATATTCTTTCTAGATAACCTGGGTGGTGAGGTGCTAAAATGAAACACTTACTCAGTACTTTACATTTCAAATGCTGTAACTGTATTCCCTTTTTCTGTATCTTCTAATAAAAGGTGAAGAAAATTAATGGTGTGTTTGCCCTAGTACTGAGCAGCTGAAGTCTCTGTATACCAGCCCTTGACCTTGTTTACAACTGTACAATGCTGGACAATTACAGGTTCCTGCCTGGTAACACCTTTACCTCGCTGAAAGTAATTGAGATGTTACCTCGCTGAAAGCTGTTCTGGCTCCTCCCTGCAAACTGGAAGGGACCCTACCATTGGGCCCATTGAAAGTAATACATCAGGCCCAATGTTAGGGTCCCTTACAGTTTGTGGGGAGGAGCCAGAACAGCTGCATGGAATGTGGGAGCTGGCTGGCTGAGGGGGGCTGGCACCTAAGCTGACCAGTCAGTGTGAGAGAGACAAACAGCCCCCTCAGCCTAGCTAGCAGGCTGAAGAATCTCCTCCTTGCCCAGATGCAGTAAGGAGCTGCCCAGTGTCTCTCCAGGCTTCCCCTCCTCCCTGCCCAAAACTAGGACTGGCTGACAGGCACAAACAAGTCTGGGTGCTATCTGTGAGCAGGGCACTAAATGTGATCAGAACTCCCTTGAGCCTAGCAGATCATACAGGCGTACTGATACATAGGTCAGGGCTATGGTCGGTGGGGGATTGCTCACAGTTACTTATGGAATCAGCCATTCCTTATGTCTGCATTCACCTATTGCAGAGGTCACCAACTGGTTGATCGCGATCGACTGGTCAATCCTAGAGGATCTCCCAGTTGATTGCGATCTCCGGCGGCACAGTGGGGCTGTCCAGGTCCCATGCCACTCCCAGAAGTGGCCAGCGTGCCCCGCGGCCCTGGGGATGGCGGGGCAGGGGTCTCCCTCCACTCGCTGCTCCTGCCTGCAAGCACCACCCCCGTAGCTCCCATTGGCTGGGAACAGGGAGCTGTGGCCAATGGGAGCTGGAGAGGGGCAGTGCGTGGAGCTAGGGGCCACAGGGCATGTTGGTCCCTTCCAGTAGCAGTGTGGGGCCGGGTTAGGCAGGGAGCCTGCCTTAGTCTGCGAGCCGCTGGAGGTAAGTGCTGCCTGGCGGGAGGCCGCATCCCAACTCCCAGCCCTGAGACCCCCTCCCAGAGCCAGCATCCTGTACCCCCCTCCTGTACCCCAACCCCCCTCCCAGAGCTGGCACCCTGTACGCCCTTCTGCACCCCAACCTTCTGCCCCAGCTCTGACCCCACCCCCAGAGACAGCACTCTGTACCCCTCCTGCACCCCAACACTCTGCCCTAGCCTGGAGCCCCCTCCTGCACCCAAACTCCCAGAACCCTCACCCTGCACCCCCTCCAACACTCTGCCCCAGCCCAAAGCCCCCCTCCTGCACCGAAACTCCCTCTCAGAGCTTGCACCCCTCAATCCATCCTGCACCCCTACCCCCTGCCTTAGGCTCAGCCCAGAGCCCCCTCCCACACTACAAACCCTTCGGCCCCAGCCCAGAGCCCGGACCCCTCCCAAACCCCTACCCCAGCCTGGTGAAAGAGGGTGGGGAGAGCGAGTGATAGGGGGGATGGAGTGAGTGGGGCGGGGCTTTGGGGAAGGGGCGGGGTAAATACTGGGTTACCCTTAAATTCAAAAAGTGATCTCGGGCATAAAAAATGTTGGTGACCACAGACCTATTGTATCTTTTTGGCATTAAACTTTGATAATGAATGTATGAACTGACAGTGTTTCCCTTGCTTTATTTCTTCCATCTTTTGTCATTTTGGGTTCCTTCTCTCCTGTCCTTTTCTTTCCAGAATGTGACTGTAGCTTTTTTCCCCTTCTTTCAGTGTCAGTTTTCCTTCTCATTTTTACCCATCTACCCTTTATCCTCCCCCGCCCTGGTTCCTTGCCCCTTCTTCTGTTCCCTCATCCTCACTGGCCTCTTCCCTTGCCTGAGCCTCAGGAATCTTCTGTGGAAAGGGAAAAGCAGGTGCTGAAAAATGATTGATTTGCAGAGGGGAAGCATAGGAGGTGGGAACAAATGCAGCTGAGAGGAGACAAACAGATGCAAAATTCCTCACTTTCTATCCCTACTGCAAACCCGGGCTTCCCTGGAGCCCTAGATTTGTACCCAGCTGCTATTTGCTGCTTTTCCTTGGTATCACACAAACTAGTTTTTAATTGTCAGTCATTTTTTGTTCTTTGCAGGTCAGCTTTGAAAACCAGAATGTTTGCTAATATGAACCAGGCTCTGTGAAAAACGAAAGGTTTCCACAGTAAAGAGAGCGGGCTTCTGTAAAGCATTGAACAGAGAATGAATCAAAAGAAACATGAAAAACAGTCACACTAATCATGGACCAGATATTCTATTCAGCCATAATTTAGAGCTGGTATAATTTATACCATTTAGCCATATAAAGTGCTGTAAAGCAGCAGAGTGTCAGGGGCTTTTAGTGATGAAGATATAAATGTACACAGAGACAGGCAACACAACTGGGAATCATGGCCTTAAATCTTTGCTGGTAGCATTGCAGTGCTAGCATTGTGGTTCTGTCAGTGTGAAAGGGAAATGATCAGAAAATAGTGAAGGAAATAAGCATGTAAAAATGGCCTGATTTTCAAAGGTGCTAAGCACCTAGGACGTGCAGTGAAATTCAGACTTAAAACTACACCAAAAAACTAGATTCACTCTTCTGTAAGGAGGTGCAAATTCTACCTGTTTATGTTACCATGGCCTGCTCCACAGAGGGAAGAGGCACCCAAGGGTCAGTGGAGGGCAAAGGTAACACTACACCAGGTGAGATCAGCTTTTGTCTGCGTCAAGGAGCCTTAGTGATACAGGCAATGCCTCAGCAACCTTCCCCCCCTTAACTTTGCTTCCATCCTGGCCAATGTGCTTCATTTTTGGTGCAGCACTGACTGGAGGTGGGCTCTTAAACAAAACTGAAGTTACAGGTACCTTGGGCTATCATACCCCATCTCCTGGGGCCCTGTGGAAGAGTGTTCAGCTCCAACCCTGAATCAGTGAAACACAGTGCAATCAAAGGTGTATACAAAACATGCAACAAACCCAGCAGGTGCTTTCTATATAGTGCATCAGTCACACAAACTGCCTCAAAAGCAAGGAAACAAACTGCACTGCAGCCCTATAGTCAACTGGTGAAAATAAAACTCAAGATTGTAAATGTAAGAGTTACCTGGAGTGCACAAAACTACTGTGAGAAAAGCCTCCACACAACAATAAAGGGGCCTTGCTCCAACGGATGTTGCCCCATGCACAATTACTCTGATGTTTAAAAAAAAAAAGCCCACACAATCACTAACCTCACAACATTTTTGCTATGTGTTAAATGTACTTCCTGCCCACTGGCAGCGCTGTCTCTGAAGCTCTCACCTAACTCTGGTGCACAAACGGCCATTATTATCTTTTTTTGGCCCAAACTTTTCAATAGGATGGGAGCAGATACTTGTTGTGAATCATCAAGGAAGAGAAAAGTTTAACCTGCATCACTCAACTGTTTTGTTGATTTTGCAAACATATATAACACTTGCATTTATAGTTTGCCTAGGCATACAGGGCTAGTGTGTGCTTTTAGCCTTGATTAAGTGATAGTGTGTAAACAGCACCTCCCAAAGAGAGGCCCTCTAGAGATGTGACTCAGACACACCCTGCACAATGGGCAATAAAGCTACTGTGTGGCTTAAGTGACAATGCCTCACCTGTGTTTCTACAGAGCAGCTCTTCCCTTGTTTTTTCTTCAGCGGCACGCCTGCGGCAGCCCTCCCACTGCATCAATTTTTTTCTTCCTTGAGGGTGTGCGATCAAAAAAAGTTTGGAGACCATTGATCTGGGCTAACCTGTATATCACTGGCCATAAGACTTCCCTAAATTAATTCCTTCTACATGTGACTTTTCTACAAGGTGCTGATAGCAGCAACAGTGGCTTGGTTTAAATATCTAGGGGCTCCTCTTAAAACTAACATGCACCACTGGCTTGAGCATCCAACCAGAAACCTGGGAAAACTTAAATATCTTACCTTGGAACCCCTGATCATCATTGCCACTGCTATAATCACATCATCTTTCACATGCGATCATCATTTACTGTGGAGGAAGGGCAAATGGCATTTTGAACCCTTGAGCAGAGTCCACACCAGCAAGGAGTCCTTCCTTCCTACAAAGTAGAACCCCTTTCCACTTCCTCTCCCAGCTCATGGCCATATACTGCTTTACAGGGGTACATAATTGAGATTGTGGTTTTGGTGAGCCCCTTACTCAGGGTGTATTAAGTACAGTTTAGCTATCTTTTAATCACACAATAAGAGGAACATTTCGTTACCCTGACATCCAAAACTGAAATGACTAACCAAAAATTATTCGAAGGAACACACTGGCATAGTGAATGCCACTGAAGTATGCTCATTCTAGCTCTGCTCCCGGGTCATAAGATGATGGCAGCAGAGAGCACCTTCCTCTCCCACTGTAAGACTACCCTTGTAAGGTTGTTACTGAACTCTGTAGAAATTCATTCAGTGAGATTATAGTCTCGTTTCTTCACATTTTATGCATAGTGTTGCTATTTTACTTCATATCATTTGCCATGTCACACAACACACAATACTTTGTACATCTCCCTCATTTCGTACAATATTAGACCTTTTAATTATTATTACAAACTGGGGAGGGGGGACCCTCCATAATTGTAACAATGCACCAGATTAAAACAAAACTTCTTCAACAGAAATTGAGCCTTGTTCTCATGTCACCCTTTACTAGAGGGATCTCTGAACTTTGTTGGGAGTGTTCCAGTTGGGAAGATCCTGTGTGCCGCAATTTAGCCTTAGAGACCACAACTCCCATGATGCCTTGGGGGAAAAGAGTGAGACACTTCCCCTTCCAGGGAGTGCAGGGAGAGAGGCGGTGGACTCCATTTTGGGAAAGGAGCAAGATTGCTGGTGTGGCGCTCTGTCCATACCAGGAGCTGCTGCTGAGAGCCTGCAGGGGCTTTGACTTAGATACATGCCACTGATTATTATTATTCTTAGAATAGCTTTATTCCTAGAGGTTTCCAAGGCACACCATTGAGTGTCTACAGGGGCCAGGAGGTGGAAGCACTGCCAAATTTAAATTCCTTTAGGAGTAAAGGGACTGTAGTAGAGGGGTGGATAGAGGATTCTCACCTATCCAACATCACCACTGGGGTACTCAGGATCTCCTTGAATGTCAACAACATCAGGCGCCCAGGCACACAGGAAAGGGGGGTTACACCAGTATTCGACTAGTGTTGGTGATAATTCTGCTAATTGAGATAAGCTGAATTCTGATAGCAGCTTCAGGCTTCAAATGTATACTATTTGGCTGAGAGCAGCAGGAAGGAAAATAGATTGTAAATTATGCAAACCCAATATAATGTGAAAGATACACATCTCAGTATTTACATTTTGCTACTGCATCGGTTTTATTGTAAACACGTTCACAGCAGTACAAGAAACTAACTGACCTGTGTAGTGATGCAAGAAAGCTTCCTGGAGTTAGCTGGTTAATGTTGTATATGCAAAGGAAATCATGGCAATAATAAAATACGCATATGCATAGCTTCAAAGAGAGACATTGATCCTGACTGGAATCTCAGTTACATTGGTGTAAATCAGAAGTAACTTTGTTGAAATCACTGGAGTTGGAATGCTGTAAGATGAGTACAGTATAAGTGAGATCAGAATCAGGTACACTTTGAGGAAGTTTATGTGACTATTACCCATGATAATTACAGATTTTATGGCAAGTCAATGGAGCTATGACAATTTATATCAGCTGTGGATCCGCCCCTGTATCATGCATTTTTTGGTGATCACTTAGTGCATTTGTGGTTATGTTTTGGCTTTGATTTGATCTAGACTTCAGAGATTTAAAAGGGGGTAACAGAGAAGAAGCTTCCTGAAATTCCTTGGCTACAAAGTAATAACAAAGTGTATCTAAACAGCAGTTACAATTTGCTACCCACGCAGCCACACGAATAAAAAGGCTTGCATTCTGGCGTAAAGAACAGGCAGCTCCAGCTGCGTCCATTGCATACCTAACAAGTAGCCCGACATTAAAAGGCAAAAAACATATGATAAATACACTCAGGTTCATAGAGACAATCCAGAGAGCCTTCTGGATTGATGTTTCCTCAGGTGGACTCATGTTCTTCTTCATCTTCAGACACTGGATGACTTGAATAGAACAAAAAGTCAGTATTATTAGTGGTATAAAAAAACCCCAAATACCTGACACCAGTGTAGTTACTGCAGGTTCACCAGAAGTTTTCTGAAAGCACTTTTTTTCTTTTTTCTCAGAAAATCGTGGGTTGAAGTATGCATAAATGATTATTATTATCCAAAGAAATCCGCAGCTAACAGCTGCCTTCAGTGGGGACCTGAAACTCTTTGCTTTCAGGGGGTACTTAATTGCAATGAATCGGTCGACTGCTATAAGGGTGATGATATAAATGCTTACAGGCATGTTTGTAAAATATATAGTCTGTATGACATAGCACAGTTCATCTATGGGATGTTCAGTCCTGTGAAAATGCACAATGAAAGGCAACGTGACGAGCAGAAAACAGTCTGCAATAACCAAGTTGATCATGTACACTCTGGTTTCTGTCCATTTTTTCAGCTTGCAGCAGAATACCAGGAAGGCAATGACATTAAATATAACTCCAAAAAAGACAATTGGGATGTAAATAATCAATTGTAAAAGGTTAAGATTTTCAGGCATTGTGACGTTCACGCTGCTGCAGTTCATCCTGATAAGGAGTTACTTCAATGGAAGAATTACGAGCTGTGAAATACAACAGAACACACTGGTGATTAATTTACAACTTTATTCTTCTAATGTTCATATCTTGTAGGGGCCTAAAATCCCTTACACATCTAAGTTTCTGCCACAAAGCTGCCTCAGCCCTGACACCACTGCACAGCTAACATGCTGCTTGTAGGCCTTGAAGCAGGATTTTCAAACTAGGCAGAGGAACATGCTGTCTTGTCAGCAGGGCCCAATCCCGTCAGTGTACTCTGAGCATGCTTGAGCCTGGATACCTGGCAGACCCTGCAGGAGGAGGGCCAGAGATACAGGCTACCAATTGGTGTGTGGGCATGCGGGAGTGGGGGGGGCAGCAAAGCAATCACACAAAACAGCTGGGGGCACAGGAAAACGCAGGTAGGTCGAGTGTGAGAGAGGTAATGAGCATTACCAGGAGGCAGAGAGTGAGAGAGACAATTTCAGCTGCTAGGGCATGGGTTACGGAAGAGGCTGACCTGGCATAGGTGCCTAACTTTAGATGAGCGCCTGTGGCTAAGCATCCTGAGTGGCACGAGGTGCCTATCTGTGGCTTGTCAGGCAGGTGCACCATGTCAGCCTCTTAGGCCCCTCTTCCTGTCCCTTTCCTCAGCATTTAACTCCTGGCTGGCTTTTAGACAGCTCCCTGCTCAGCTTGCTGGCTTCTAAGGATCCCTTTCTTAGGAGACTAGCTCTGCTGTCTAGATATTGTCCAGATCCAGAGAGAATTAGTAATTTAGATTGCAGTCTTTATATGATGCTAGCACTCCAAAGCCAGGTAATCATGGCCTATAAAAATTAAGGACCAAATCGCCTTACAGTTTTCATTCATTTCCCAGGTAAAACTCCTAACTGCAATCAATGGGTTTGATTCTCAGTTATGCCGAGGCTCCTTTACAGTGTTCTGGCAGTGTAAAGGGCCTTAATACTAATGCAAATGTAATTTGGTGCCCACTTTGAGCCCCTTTACACTGCCAGAGTGGTACAAAGGGGCCTTAGTGTAAATGAGACTCAGGCCTCAAGTATTTTTATACTTAGGTTCTGGTGAAAGCGGAGATGTGCATGTCTTTATCTGTACCCCAATAAAGCCTGAGGCACATCCCTCGGCCCGGGCCGCTTCCCGCAGCCCCCATCGGCCTGGAGCGGCGAACCGTGGCCAGTGGGAGCTGCAATTGGCCGAACCTGGGGACACGGCAGGTAAACAAACCTACTTGGCCCGCCAGGGGCTTTCCCTGAACAAGCGGCGACCCTAGTTTGAGAACCACTGAGTTAGAGCAAAGCAATTTTTAGTGGCCAAGATATAGGGCCAGACCCAACACCCACCAAAGTCAGTCTGGAGACTTCCATTGGCTTCAGAATCATTGTTGGATCAGGCATTGCATAATGCTAATAGTATATCAGTTTGTTAACATTTACAATCCCAAATCTCAACTGTTCATGATATTCCTAAAATTAGCATTTTTAGTATTTTGGGGGGGGTGATTTTCAAAAGAGCCAAAGGAAATCAGATGACATACTTCCATTGACTGAAAGTCAATCAGTTTTGTGTGCCTAACTCCCTTTGGCTTTTTTGAAAATCCCAGCCTGCATTATTATTGTTCATTATTTTCACTGGGGTAGCACTGAGAAACGACAGCGCCATAATCCATAGGCACTGATTAGACACACAATGAAAAGAGGATCCTTGTCCCCAGTGACCTAACAGTCTCTGCCTCCATTTCTCTATCTATAATATAGGGGTAGTCCCCCTTACCTCGCTGAGTGTTGCAAGATTAAACTAATTCATGGTTTTACATAAGTATCACATAATTATGATCAATAATAAGAATGATGTGTTTTGTCTCTCACTACAAACAGCAAATATAATCTAAAACAGAGTGATTCAATGCATGGGAGAACAAGCACACAGAAAGTAACAAAAGTTAGAGTAAAAGTAGGTGGAGAGAAAACCTGCAGAAAGACAGCAGCATTTGAAAAAGTGCCATCAAAGGTATATGAAAGTAGAATTTTTAGCATGCTGACCTAACTGCTGATTAATAGCCATTTTAACCTTAAAAATAAAAAGTAGTAACCTGCCTACTAATGATTGAGAAGCCTCACTGTGGCCCAAGTCTGTATTTACTAGTGCAAATTGCATAAGAATGATGAAAGAATTAAAAGTTACCTGCTTCTTTGTAGCTCACTGCACAATTAATTTACTCCACAAGAAAAGCTTTGGTTCAGCACAGATTAGCTTATCTGAATGCCATGGAGTACATTTAATAGACTCAGATTTTGTTCCACTTGATGCTGCTTATTGTTCAGGGCACAAGTCCAATGATTCTTTCATCACTAGCTCTGAAGTAAAAAAGCACAATGACCAAATCTCCTCCTGTTCCTCCAGACCGTCGGGTATGTTTCATGATTAAACTTCCTTTTTAGTGACAAATGTTTCTCTGGTGCCTCCTACTTATTCCATTACATCAGTGCAACCCTCTACAGCAGTGCTTCTCAAGCTATCCGATGTGGGGGACCGGCATTTTTTCCCCCCAATGTGCATGCAGACCTGCAGTCGATGAGTAGCTACCACTTTGAGTAGCACCGCTCTACTGTACAGTTTTCCCCCAGCAAGGAACTGATACTAATATTCACAGTCATCAACTCAAAGATAAGTTTAGTAATTTGTGGAAGGAAAACTATAATGTTTTCTAATTGGTTTTGCAGCAGCAGCAAGTCCTACACTGACATCAGTGGAAAACAAAACTTTTTATTTAGCCACAGAACAAGCAGTCAGTCAGCAAGCAGTTCAATGCCTACTAACATTCCTGAGCTGGATTATTATTGGCTGGGCACTTCAGAAACCCAGAAGCAAGGGCAGCAGAACGAGGTTGCACATGGGGGAAGCAATGTCCTGTTTCTCCTTGGTCTGGCTGTTGTCAGTAAGGGTGTCTGTGATGGGGCACACAACTCACCACTAATCTGGTGCTTCCTCCTGGCTGCTCTGGGGATTAGTTCACCAGATTGATGCTCATTCCCGCTGTTGCATGCTGCCACTCCGTCTCTCTCTCTGGTCTGCAGCCCCTCTTTCATTCCAGGAACCGCTACGTCCTCTTCATGACCTTCCAGCCAGGTCACTCAGTGTTCCCCCCTTCCGGGGTATATCAAAGTCTTTTCTTCAGTAGTCCTAGGCAGGCTTCCCATTCACTGCCTCAGGTGCCACTCCTTCAGTGGCTGGTAGGAGAACCCAAGCTCACCCTCTACTCTGGGGGTCCAGTTCAGGGACCCTCAACCCAGCAGTTCTGGGCTTCCCCTCTTCTGCCCTCACTGCTCCTTCCCTGGACTTCTTCTTTCAGCTCCTGGCTTCCCTCCTCCCAGGGAGTGACTGCAGCCTATAAATTTCTGCAGCCACTAAAGACGCCTCCCTCTTTCCAGGGAGTGTCTGCCCTTTCCCAGCAGCAGTCCCGGTCTGTTGCCAGCTTCCTGGTTTTATTCTGCCTATTCCTGTACTGCTGAAACTGAAATCAATTCCCTGGCTCTTCCTTCAGGTGCAGCCTGTGGAATTAATAGGCCTACCTGGCTACCTTAACCCCTTCCAGTTCTGTGTGGGGTGGACACTCCTTCACAGTGTCAATTATGATAGTGCTACTTTTCTCTGATAAGTGGACTGAAATTACCAACTCTTTCCATATAGGACACTGAAAAGCCAATAGATGGTATGTTATGGTTACTACCCACTTCAGGTGGTGTTGAGCCAATGATACGAAGGTGAAGGCTATGTCTCAATTACATCTGAGCCATCCAGTTCCCCATATACCTTTTTAAAATGTTCAAGTATTTTTTTATATTCTTTGTGGTGCTCATCTGAAGAGATCCTGGTTAGGATTTTATTTTAGGTTCTCTGCCTTGGAGAGTTGGGCAGATCGAACTAAGGAATCATAATTACTCACAAGTTTTGGAATTGCATTCACAAATTAGTGAAACATATGCCCACAGTTGCACACCTACAGCTTTAACAGTCAGATCTGGCGTAAACTTGTATTACACTAGTAAAGTCAAGAAAGCTTTGCTGAAGACTTGGCCCTAAAGTGTAAGGGTCTGATCACTCCCTGGAAGGACTCTCATTGACTTCAATGGGCATTGGCTTGGGCCCAAATACTTTAGGAGTGTAAATGAACTCAAAGATGTTTATCCCCTGTATCAATTGGTCTTTACGCTTTCAAAAATGTGAGCCATCACATTCCTGACATTTATTTATTTATGTGGATTTATACATCCAGTCTATGTAACTGACATCTTATTGTAACTGCCATCTTTCTCTTGCTTGTTGTATCTTGGCTTAAATTCGAGGGTCAGAGTTTTGGGTCAGGACTGTGACTTCCTCTGCAGTTGTTCAGCACTCAGTGCAATTGGGGACTCTGTGTACTACCGTAATTAATAAATAATAATGGTCAACAGTAATTATTATATTGATTAATTATTATTATTAAGTTCCAACAGGTATTGACCATTATTCATGGCTTGCATCCATACAATCACTTCATCACCAGTAAATCTGGCATGTCTGAATTGCACAATTTAGGTTGGATATTAGGAAAAACTTTTTCACGAGGAGGGTGATGAAACACTGGAATGCGTTACCTAGAGAGGTGGTGGAATCTCCTTCCTTAGAATTTTTTAAGGTCAGGCTTGACAAAGCCCTGGCTGGGATGATTTAGTTGGGGATTTGTCCGGCTTTGAGCAGGGGGTTGGACTAGATGACCTCCTGAGGTCCCTTCCAACCCTGATATTCTCTGATTCACAATGTGATATTCATAAAACGAGCTCCTCAGATTTATCTGGTATGTTTCAGCTTAAAACTTCCTCTTTGGTGTCATGTTTCTCTGGTGCCCTCCACTGAGTCTATTACATCAGTGCAATCTTTTGCATTATGTTTTGGTTCCAGTCTGCATTTCACCAAGGAAGGAAGCTATGAACCTTGGCTAGGGCCAAAGTGCACAGAACACAAGTCAGGAAGATTGCTGTAAAGATGGTTTGTAACTCATCCTTGCAATCCCCCAGGGCCGGATTAATGCAGGGACTTTAGGGGCTGCAGCCCAGGGCCTTGGGCTAAGGGGGTCCCACAGGCCCGCGGCAGCCCGCTGCTTCTTTTCATCCAGCCCGTGGCAAGTCTCCACACTGCGTGCTGGACACTGGTCCCTGAGCCTCGGCGCCCCCACCACCCCGCAGGGCTGGAGCCGCAAGTGCCGGGTCGCCAGCATGCCCCTGTGGCCCCTAGGTGAGGGATGTTCAGGGAATCTCTGCGTGCTACCCCTACCCCCAGTGTTGGTTCTGCAGCTCCCATTGGCCAGGAACCATGGCCAATGGGAGCTGTGAGGGTGGGCACAGGCAGCATGCACTGCACAGAGCGGCCTGTCCCCTAGGGGCTGAACATGCCAGCGACCTCAAGGAGAAGAGCAGCATGGAGCCAGAGCAGGCAGGGATCCTGCCTTAGCCCCACTGTGCCGCCAACCAGGAGCTGCCCGAGGTATGTGCACCCTGCACCCCAGCGCCCTTCCCCAGCCCGGTGCCTTCTTCTGCACCCAAACTCCTACCTGCACCCTAACCCTGTCCCAGCCCTGAGCCCCTTCCTGCACCCAAACTCCTACCCATAGCCCGCACCACAAACCTTCTGCCACATCCCAACCCCCTGTCCCATTCCTGGCCCCACCCCTCCAGTTGGAGCTGCACCCCCTCTCACACACCAATCCCCTGCCCCAGCCCTGAGCCCACTCCTGCACTCCAAAACCCCAGGGGCCCCACAAAATCTAATAGCCCCGGGCCCACAGGAGTGTTAATCTGGCCCTGGCAGTCCTGTGATCTTAGTGCTTCTCTGTGTAGTGCTGGACCCTCTGTGACAAATTAGAGCAGCCTTGCTGATCACTGTAATGTACTCTGGGATGCCACAACCACAGGGTACCAAAAAAAAAAAAAAACAACAACAACAAACCAGCCAAAGGCCAGGGTGGCATTAAGTTGGCCACATCCCTTTTCTCTGTCTTCTCTTGCTTTTCTCTTCTGTGCCAGGGATGGGGAATGACGCAAGAGTCCTATGCTGATTATGTCATTGGCAGATCAATCCTCCCTAGCCAGTTAAACTATCATTTTGGCCAGATTATGCCAGTGGTGGTGCAAAAAAACTGCACCAGGCTGAAAATTCTGGCCCTACATGTAGCCTATTCAGACTTCAAAGGTAGAGGAAAAAGTTTTGTAATTAGTACAAATACATTTTAAACTGAGGCAACAGGAGGTTAAGTGATTTGTCTAATGTTACATAGAAAGCTTGTACCAGGACTGGGAACAGAACTCTGATCTTACGCCCAGGCTCAATGTCATGCAGGTACTTGGTAGCAGAGTGGAGAATAAAATTCTGATCTCCCAGAAAGTTTGTATTAGGGCTGAGACGAGAACCCTGCTCTGCCACGGGGTGCACCACTCACTGCTTGTGTGGCACCTCCTTTTGGTCATTCTGGGGATTGCATGCCATCACACCGTCTCTGCAGCTCCTCTCTCATCCCAGGAATTGCAACGTCCTCTTCGTGACTCAGCCCTCTGGCTAGGTCACTCAGCGTTTCTCCCTGTGACAGGTGTGAGTCGGTCCTCCGAGCCCCTAGGGGCAATGGAGAGCAATGGTCTCCGTGGCAGGCCTCGGCCCCACCTCCCGGGTGTTGGGGAATTAGCGGGCAGGGGAGCGCCGGCCAGAGTCAGTAGCGCGCCCCTCAGGCAGGGGAGCGCCGGGGTAGGGGAACGCAGGCCCACCCAACTCCACTGCGTTCCAGCCCAGGCCCTGACAGTGGCAGGAGGCGAAGGTCCCGCCGCAGGGTCAGCGGGGCAATCCGCACCCGCTGACCAAACACACCCAGCCCATGGTGTAGTTGGGCCCCTGAGCTACTTCCTACCTGGTCTCTTTCAGGCGGGTCGCTCCAGTCTCTCCATCTCCTCCGGGTATTCCGCTGCGGGCAGCTCCGGATCCTCCGGGTATTCCGCTGCAGGCCACCCCCGCTCACCCTCGGTATCGGACTCACGCTGGCCCGGGCTGCAGTCAGGCCCCTCCAGGTATTCAGCGGCCGGCAGCCCTGGTTGCCACAGGCCTTCCCCCCGGTCAGGCTCCTCCTTGCCCAGGGCTTCGCCTGGGACAGCAGCAGGATCACGAGGGAGCAGCCTGTGTCTGTCTCCCTCCCTGGTGCTCTCCTCACTGGGCAGAGGGCCCCGCACTTTGTACTTCCTGTCCCACCCCTCCCCTTCCGGGGATTGGCGGAAGCTTGGCCTGGCCCCGCCCACTCAGGCCCAGAGGGTGGCTCTTTACCCTCTGGTTCGGAGGGGAGCCACACTGGCTCCCTACACTCCCCTTTCGGGGTACAGTCCTTCAAATCCTCTCTCACTCCCACATTGACTCAGGCAGTCTCCCCGTTCACTGCTCTGCCAGTGCCACTTCCCCAGTGGCAGGTAGGGGAACCTGGGCCCTCTGCTACCCTGGGTTCCAGTCCAGGGACCTTCAACCCAGAAGTTTGGGGCTTTCCTCTCCCAGCCCTCACTGTTCCTTCCCTGAACTGCTTCCTAGAACTCCTGATTCCCCTCCTTCCCCTGGGTGTACCAGGTCCAAACCCTCTTCCCAGGGAGTGACTGTCCTTTCACAGCAGCAACCCTTGTCTGTTTCCAGCTTCCTAGCTTTATAGGCCCCCTCTATTCCTGCATAGCTGAACCTCCTTGCAATTAATTCCCTGCTCCCTGGCACTCCCTCCAGGTGCAGCCTGTGGAGCTAATAGCGCTACCTGGCCACCTAGCCCCTTCCAGTCCTGTGTGGGGTGGACACCACATCTTTCCTATGTTGGGGGGTGTGGGCCCTGGGACGGGGCTGGAGAGTTTGGGGTGTAGGAGGGTGCTCTGGGCTGGGACAGAGGGGTTCAGAGGGGGATCAGGGCTGGGGCAGGGGTGCAGGAAGGGGTGCAGGTTCCAGCTGCGGGTGAGGTTATATAATGCTTGCTAATACTCCTTTCTCCCATATCTATAGCATTAATGATCTCTAAATTTCTCTCAAAACTTCAACAAAAGAAAATGTATCTGTATTCTTCTCTCAATTTAATGCAATCCTGTTAAATTAAATTGACAGAAGGAAGCTGAATTCTTTTCATTTATATTCCTGACAGAAAGATAGCAAACAGAAGATGTCAAGCTGGAAAAGTTCATGCATCAATGTTTGCACTACAGTACAGTCACAGCAGTTACTTGTTTAATGCTGTGTATATACAGGAAACCATGTTAAAATTAACAACAGCGTGGTATGTGGTGATTTTATTTTCATAGATTAAACACAGCTATGAATATTCCACGCTTGATAAGCCCATTGCTTCTCTTATTACTTCTGGCTTTGGTGTTGCAATATTTTTATATCAGCATTTCGAATGTCCTCAACTGAGAGGTGGGGGTTTGCTTTGTCTCAGAGTGATGAGATTTGGGCTTATGAAAGAAAGAAGCTTCTTGAAATTCCTTAGCCACAAAATAGTAGCAAATGGCATCCATGCAGCAGTTAGAATTTGCTATACATGTGGAAACAGTAATAAAAGTTCTAATCTTCTGGATTGCAAGACAGTTAACTAAATTTTTTTCCATCACAAACCTAGCAAGCATCCCAATTTGGACAGGTAAAAAGCACACTATAAATACAATCATATTTGCAGAAACAATATAGATAGCTTTCTCGATTAGCTTATTTTTGTGTGAATTGGAGATAATCTTTTTTTTAAGACTCCTGATGATGTGCATGGAACAAAAGCACACTATTATTAGTGGAATTAAAAAAATGAAGATGAAGAGATATAGAAAACCGGTTGATGGTTTTGTGGAAAGCTTTTGAAAGCACAAACGTTCATTTCTCCTTTGTTTTACGATCAGACCAGTTATCGTTGATACCCAAAGAAGCCCACAGATAAGAGCAGCCTTCCATGGTGACCTTAAACTCTTTGCCTTCAGAGGAAACTTTATGGCAATGTATCGGTCGACTGAGATGATAGTGATAATGTAGATGCTCATGGACATATTTATTAAATATATAGACTGTATAGTTAAGCACAGCGTGTCACGATGCCAATCATTCCAGAGGAAGTAAATTGTGAAAGGCAAGGTGCAGACTACAGAACAGTCTGCAATGACCAAGTTGATCATGTACACCCTGGTTTCTGTCCATTTTTTCAGTTTGCAGCAGAACACCCACAAGGCAAGGACATTAAATATGGCTCCAAAAGGGAAAATTGTGGCATAAATAATGACTTGAACGAGCTGAACATTGTAACTCAATTTTAGACTGTTGTTGCAGTTTGTTGAGTTTGTCATTACGATGCACCTCTGCTATAGAACGAGGTTTCAAAGACCTGAAATATAACAAACACGATTCTTTTCATTAAAAACGAAAGCTCATCTCTTATTTGACCCACTGCACTCTCTTGCCAAATTGTCTGATAAACATTCCCTATAAGATTTCCCCTCCCAATAGGGCAGCAATGGCCTCCCTACATTCCTCTGGTCCCTCAACAGCCCCATGACTGAATCAGAGTGCATAAAAATCAATGATTAAAAAAGTTGGATTTTTAAAAAAATATTTTAAAGTTTAAGTTATATGTTTTTATTTTAAAAAATAAACCTATTAAAATTAAATTTAAATTTATGAGAACCTATGCCAAGGCCTACATTTAGTGTAATTTTATACCATAGTATAGTAAATTTAAATTAGTATATTTTTTATTTTAAATTTAGTATAATTTTATACTATACCGGGGTGGGCAAACTTTTTGGCCCAAGGGCCACATCTGGGTATAGAAATTGTATGGCGGGCCATGAATGCTCACAAAATTCGTGTAGGGGTGTGGGATGGGGTGAGATCTCTGGCTGGGGGTGTGGGCTCTGGGGTGGGGTCAGAAATGAAGAGTTCAGATTGAGGGAGGGGACTCCGGGCTGGGGTGGAGAGGGTGGTGTGTGTGTGTGTGTGTGGGTGAGGGCTCCGGCTGAGGGTGCAGGCTCTGGGGTGGGGCTGGGGATGAGAGGTTTGGGGTGCAGGAGGGTGCTCCGGGCTGGGATGGAGGGGTTTGTAGGGCGGGAGGAAGATCACGGCTGGGGAAGGGGGGTTGGGGCATGAGGGGAGGCTTAGGGGTGCAGGCTCTGGGCAGTGCTTACCTCAAGCGGCTCCTGGAAGCAGCCACATGTCCCCTCTCCAGCTCCTACGTGGAGGCATGGCCAGGCGGCTTTGCTGCACACTGCCCTGTCCGCAGGCACTGCCCCTGCAGTTCCCATTGGCCGCAGTTCCCGGCCAATGGGAGTTGCAGGGGCGGTGCTTGGGGTGGGGCCAGAGTGCAGAGTGGAGTGCCCTGGCTGCCCCTACTCATAGGAGCCAGAGAGGGGCGATGCTGCTGCTTCTGGGAGCCACGCAGAGCGGCCCCCAACCCTGCTCCCGGCTGGAGCACCAGAGCTGGGCAAGCACCAGACCCTGCTCCCCCGTGGGAGTTCGAGGGCCAGATTAAAACAGCTGGTGGGCCGGATCTGGCCCACAGGCCGTAGTTTGCCCACCCCTGTACTATACCATAGTAAATTTAAATTAAATAAAAAAAAGATTCAAGTAGCACATGTTTGCTGCTGAAGTTTTAAAGAAAATGAAAGCATGAATTGGTGGATTAAGCCCCTGGACCCGGGTATGTTGAAATGCTAAATCAGCTTTGGACAGTAACAGCCTCTTCTGCAGGTTCCGAGAGAATAATTTTCTTTGTTTCAGTTTAATCAACTAGTTCAGTTCATTGCCTAGTTCATTCAAAATTGAGAAAGTGATTGGGAGTTGAAAAAAGCAGGAAAGCTTGTTTTCCTCCTCTAACCTATCAATAAAAATGAGGCATGAGAGGATGAGATCTACTAATTCTGAAACCTTGAAGCATGTGGTGACCAGAAACAATCCATTCAAAATTCACTGACTGCAGATAATTCTTCTTTTGTTTAATAAATCAGTGAGTTTTAAATGCAAAACATGTTTGGGCAAAAAAATATTTTCTTATTGCTCCAGCACACAAAGTAGTTTTATGTAACTAGTAAAAACAAATTTTAAAATGCTGTTTTTCTGCTATTTTAATTGGTTTCCAATTTGCTTCCAAATGTAGCGTGACACAAATCACAAATAAAAAGTTGATCATCTCGTCAATAAGAAATGAATCATTCACCATTTTAAAACATAAAAGAATGTAACAATAAAACTCAGAATTATGCTAAACTATGCTTAAATAAATGTGTATAATTATAGTGTTTTCGCCTGTTTAGCAAAACAAAGTACCAAATTATATCAACAATGAGACTCAAGCTTTCTTTAGGAGAGTAACTCAGTACAAATGCAAAACAAGATTAAAAATTGATTATTTAAATCAAGGTTTTCTGTTTGCTGACTTTAAATCATGTTTAAAATCAGTGATCTAAATCACTGATTTAAATCAATCAATCCTGCTCCTACTATCTTGGATATTGGCAGGACTCTATTCTGAATTTTGCATATGGTCCCTCTCTTTCATTGAAATTTTGCTTTTGTGCTTTTCTGGAGGAGGTCCCCAAAAGCAGTGGTTCTCAAACTAGGGCCGCTGTTTGTTCAGGGAAAGCCCCTGGCGGGCCGGGCTGGTTTGTTTACCTGCTGTATCCACAGGTTCGGCTGATCGCGGCTCCCAATGGCTGCGGTTTGCCGCTCCAGGCCAATGGGGGCTGCAGGAAGGGCGGCCAGCACAACCCTCGGCCCGCGCCACTTCCTGCAGCCCCCATCGGCCTGGAGCGGCAAACCGTGGCAAGTGGGAGCCACGATCAGCCGAATCTGCGGATGCGGCAGGTAAACAAAGCAGCCCGGCCCACCAGGGACTTTCCCTGAACAAGCAGCGGCCCTAGTTTGAGAACCACTGCCCTAAAGCTTACCTTATCATGCAAAGCAAGTGTTTTTACAGCTATTTGTCTGATAACATCATGATGTTTACTATAGATCTGCAGTCACATAATGCAGTAGAACCTCACTGATATACATTAAATAATACTAGACCCATTGCAAATTAACAAGTAATGAATGTTGAGGGGAGGAAGTCAGTACATGTGACATGGTTCCCTCAAATTTCACAAAAAGTGACTTTACTGTTGAAGCAGAGTATCTGAGGCCCCCCCTACCCCCGCTGGAGTCATTGCAGTGAAGAGGAAGGCAGCAAGGGTATGTTTACACTGCAAAGAAAAACACACCCTGCAAAGTCCGAGCACCTGGGCTCCAGCCTGGAAGTCTACATAGCAATGAAACAGCTCCACAGTCCAAGCCTTGCGAGCCTGAGTTGGCTGCCATGGGCCAGATGCGGATTTTTCTTTGCTGTGTAGACATACTCTGAGTGGCTTCAGAATAGGTCATTTAGTGCAAACATGACAGGCCTCAACCCTGCTAATTTCCTCTTTAACAAGTGGCTATTAGTGAAGCCAACACTTCCTGTGGGGCTCTGGGGCTGGGCTAAATGCTGAAGGTCTGGAGGGGTCTAACAGGCATAACTGCTATGCTGACATTGGAGGGTAAGCAGTCCAAGAGAAGACAGATTTATCTGTACTAGTTACCACCACCGCCCTCCTGGGTGGTAGCTTGCCTCAGAGTCTGGCCAGGACAACATACAATGCCAGACATGAACTGGGACAGCAGCTGTCAGATATTTTTTAGTAGGACCAGTCCGTGCCCTAGGGGACAGCAGTTTCCCATTGCTCTGGCGTTACTCCCATTCAATATACTGGGCAAGGTCCTGCAGCTGGTGAGGCAGATGATCAGGGTGGAACACCTATTGTCCTCCTACAAAGCCTGGGGATGCAGCAGGCTCCAAAGAAAGGAGCCTGTCAAAGAGGCACAGTAGGGCCCTCGCCCATAACTAGAGGCTTCTAGGTGCTATGATAAATAGGCTGTAACTTTAAATGGAGTTTGGACCAGCTGGAGAAAGGGAAGTGAGTTTGAGGCAGAAGGGATAATGGTTATTACTGCACAGAAGACAGCCTGTTTCTCATCAGAGTATTTAGGGCTTTACTGATTCTCATGACACTATGATGACAAGGGACCTAAAATAAACATGCCACCGCAAGGTTAACATAGCCAAACTGAACATAAAACCAGCCTCACTACATATAGATGCTATGGTGGCTGAAAATTTCTCCGCTGTGGGCAGCACAAGAGGGCTGGAATGGGGGTCAAGGATTTGGCTCTGAAGGTGGATGTGACAGACGGAAAGAGCAAACCTGCCACATAGAGTGAGTGTGAGGGGATCTATGAGGAGAAGAGACAGGGAGGGAAAAGGGACAGACAGTGGCAAGTGGGAGGGGAGAGAAGAAAGAAAAATAGAAGACAAAAGCATAGAAAATATCATTGAGAAATGGGCAGCAATTTTTCACCTTCTGGTGGCTCCCTCCTCTTCCATGCAGCCCAATACCTTCTGTTCATACCTCCCTAACCTCCACTAATAGAGCCCTGCCCCATGAGACAAACATTCTGTTTTTCACACCTGGTCAGCCTGTAGATAAGCACATTTCATTTGTAAATAGAAAGACCGTCTCCAATGACCATCAACATTTCAAGAGCTGCTTGAGTTTGAGTTGCTGCAAAAGTCTGATAATTTGAGATGGTCTTTATATCTCACCAGGGTTTTGGAGTATGATTTGTCAAAAGAGAAATCCTAGTCAAAGCAGGAGACAATCTTATACCTGACTAGAGCTATGGGAGGTTAGACACTATATACCAGGTTCACCTGGGGAGCAGTTTATGGAGCGTTTACAGACTGACCATGAGTGCATCATTGTAAAAGGCTCAGGCATTTGACAATCTAAGTAACAGCACAGCAGGTCTGAGTGATGTTCAAAGAGCTATGCTGTGCACTTTTGACAAAATTATTATTCATAGCCCCAAATCCTCTCTTCCAGATGAAGTTATTTTCAGAATAAAATTGCAGTTTGACCTGAAACAAGCTGATTTAACACCAGCAGGATTATAATTGAGTGACTCATTCTTAATGAATAATTTCAGCAACAAATGTCACTTCCTTATTTTGTTCATAAAATGTCCACCAGCAGCCTGACATGTTCTCCAGCTGTATTCATTATTCAATATTATCAGACACATGATTCATTAATTCTTTTTCCTTTCTTGGTTGCTATTAAAAAAATGAAATTCCAAATCTGAAGTATGTTGCAGTGGTGTTATTGGTCACATACTATTGCTTTGCTCCCTCATTGTATAAGTGTAAATCTTGCAGTCAGGTTATGGTCTGCATGCTCAGAAAGTGAAGGTAAAATTTATACTTCATGAATATTTCATTGTTTTACTTTCTGCTAGTAAAACTGG